GTGGCGTGTACGGCGCGCCCGAGAACGTGGAGAAGCAGCCGGCCACCAAGTTCCGGCTGCTGCAGGACAACGCCGACAAGTTCCAGCACAACAATGAAGGCCGTGGAGGACGCGGGCGCCTTCCCGAGCGCCGACGAACGCGGCGAGGAGCTTCAACCCTCAGTACGGCGACGTGCAGCAGCTGCGGGCCGTGGACTCCATGACCGTCCGGAGCACGGAGGGCCGGGAGACCCTGCTGAAGCTGGCGCTTCCGGCGCCGCAAGGCAGCGGCAACGCGGCGGGCCGACTGACGAGGCGGGGCAGGCCGGCGGCTGTGAGGCAGCTGGACGACTTCCTGGCGCCTCCGAGGCCCAGGACCCTTGACTAGCCTTCTTTGAAAAAAACTGTTTTTTTTGATGCTCCAGCCTGTCCCGAAATTTTCGCCTCGAGGCCGTCCTCGGGTGGCGCGGGCTCGGCAGGCTGGTGCGCTTGCCGCCACATAGCACGTGCTCGGCTAACAGGACACGAAGTGAGGGAAAATATCCTTCACTTCGGATACCTATAGACTAATGCAGAAACTATGCATGGCGTGCATAGTTTCATGGGTCAAATAAAAGCGTGCTACAGTCCTCCCCCCAGGAAAGGACTGGATTTTTTTTCTGGGAAGAATTCCGACCTCGGGCGGCGCGGGCTCGGCAGGCTGGCTCCGATGCCGGGCAGGTGGCGCGGCCGGGTGTGCAGTGCCAAGCCTCAACATGTCAATCCGACATGTTGAAGCAATTGGCTCCGATGCCGGGCAGGTGGCGCGGCAGGGTGGATTCAATGCCAGGCAGGTGGTGCGGCCGGAGGCTTCCATGCCGGGCCTGAGGGGCTCTTACAGGAACCAAAAGGAACCTATAGAAACCCTACAGGAAATCTATAGGAAACCCATAGGAAGCCCTCTTCTTCTTTTCCTATGGACTTCCTATGGGCTTCCTATGGGTGTCCTATCGGTTGCCTATAGGTTCCTATAGGTTCCTATAAGGGCCTAACAAACTCCGAGCTCCCAAACTTCTATGCCGGGCAGGTAGCGCGGCCGGGCTTCAATGCCGGGCAGGTGGCGCGCCAGGGTGGAGGCTTCCATGCCAGGCAGTGGCGCGGCCGGGTGGCGCAGTGCCAAGCCGCCGTATGACCGTATGACCGTATGATCCGTATGATCCGTATGACTCGGCGGGCTGGCGTCATCTTGAGTCAACAATGGATCAATATTGAACTGACAGGTCCACCTGTCTCTTTAGAGGGGGTTTCGCAAATGGATTCTATTCTATCTGACAGGCTCCTAGCACTCGTCCGTCCAGGAAACGACCTCGTCCTGCGAAGGATTCAAAACCTAAAACGCTGCGTGCAGGCGTGTGGCTGCAATATAACGACCCCGAGATATGCGCCGCAATTTGGCTCCAGGTTGCATTTCAAGCGAGGTCAAGCTTTGCCAAAGGAAACCCCTTTTCCCTTTTTTTGGGACCCCCCTTTTTTGGGGCCCCTTGTTTTCTTTTTTTGTTTTTCTTAGCCCTGCAAAGGTTGGCTCGCTTGAAATGCAACCTGGAGCCAAATTGCACGCATATCTCGGGCCTGCACGCAGCGTTTTAGGTTTCGAATCCTTCGCAGGACGAGGTCGTTTCCTGGACGGACGAGTGCTAGAAGCCTGTCAGATAGAATAGAATCCATTTGGGAAACCCCCTCTAAAGAGAGAGCTTCTCCCTCACTGTGTGGTCCAACAAGGGGTTGATCTGGGGCGCGCCTTTTCAGTTTTCATGTTCTGTGTGGCAATGGACCCATTGTACTGGTACTTGAATCAGATCTCCTCGTCTGTCACCACGGAAGGTTATGTAGACGACTGCACGGTTGCTGGAAGCGCACGGTCTTTTCAATGGCTGCGCCGTACCCGTCAGCGATATGAGCAGCTGGTCACTGCAGGTTTTGTTGTGGAAGACCGCCAATTCTTCTTGTGGACGCTGGTATTTGCGTCCTCCGAGCATGGTGGACAAGGATACGCTACCCTGTTGGCCGCAGTGCAAGCTGTTCAAGCTTGGTTAATCGATCACCCGCAGTGCTCTCATGACCTACTGGTTTCTTTCGCTCGTGAGCAGGTGAGCCTTGCCGTTCAGTGGAGTGCAATTTTGGGCGTGGGCCTTGCTTGCGTCAGCAACTGACATTGACTGTCATTCTTTTCGCAGCTATCTCAGCGCCCATTTCCTGGAAAAAAGTGCAATTCCAAAACTGCCCAGTTTGGTGTGGTCCATCGATTTCCACCAAGAGACCATCGACCTTACACCGCTAAAGACTCTGAAGCTTAAGGAGCAATTGCATGCCCTGCTCCAATCCAAGAGAAAAAAGAGGAAACTCTTAGAGCAAGTACAGGGGCTGCTCATCTGGGCCACCAGCCTACGCCTAGAGTTGAAGATCTTGGCTTGTGCCATTATATGCAGATCTGCGTTCGTCACCAGGACACATGATCTCCGTAAACGCACGCCTGTGGCCTCCTTCCTCTCAGCCAAAGCCAGCCTGGCATCGCCAGTGCACGGCATCTTCGTGCCACTTGGCTCTAAGGTGTTGGAATACCAGCAAACCCCAGTACGCAGCCCCTCCGACTTGCCTCGCGTAGTGCCCAGTCACAAGCCAAGGCAAGCAAAGCCAACGTAGAGTGGCTGCGAAGGCACCAAAGTGGGCATAGGTGGCTGGTTCATTTCCAGCCGATCCGTTTCCTGGTTCCTAGAAACCTGGGACTTCCAAGAAGTCCAGCAATGGCCGTGCCTCACAAAAGAGGCCCAGCGCTATATAGCATGCTTCGAAACCTTGGCCCAGCTTGCACTTATGCGGGTTGCGTGGGCCACCGAAGGCCAGTCAGTGCACGGCATATGCATGCCCTCCGACTGTTTACCGCAGCACGGCCTTTGCAAATCTTTGTGCAGCTAGTTGCCGCATGGGCGCACAAGCACAGATGGTCAGTGATGGCATCGCACATTCCAGGCGAGCGCAACGTGTGGGCACACATGCGCCTTTGACAGCAAGCCGCATGCTAGATTTAGGTTTAGCCCGCATGATGTCTGGCCCTATAAATCCGCGCTGTTTTTGCACCCAGCCAACGCACCCTGACGGCCGGAGCATAAGCGTGCTTTGCAAACGCACTGAAGAAGGGGCGATATATTAGGCTGTTTGCTTGGAACCCTGAAGTGGGGGCATTTGAGCAGGCTCCGCGTGGGGGGTGCAGGCGCAGGGAAAGGACACGCATTGTCTTTCCTCCTGGTCGTACTCTTTTGTTTTTTGATGCATGTTCCCTTACGGCTTGAAGCAGTGATCAAGATTCTAACTTACCCCTCGTGGCCATCTCTGCTTTAAGGCATATTTGGTCGGACATGTTAAAAGGGTCTGAACCCATTTTTTGACGCCCCTGATTCTCACCCAGGTGGGTTCTCATGTGGAGCCTGTGGGGAACTCCCTGGTCAACAACGCGTGTTCGACCTGCCTTGTAGGTTTGTTGTCCACTGGGGCGGGTGTGTCAATCAAGGCAAATGCAATGCGTGCATCAATGCCTGATGGGCAGAATGAAGCGCATTCTGCCTGGTCTTGAACGTGCTGAGCGTGGTATTAAGAAGCGCATGCGGGACATCCGTCCTTGGCCGTCTGATGTCAGATTACCTAAGTCAGAGGTTCTTACGCGAGCCAAGGAAATTGAACTGCAAATGCATGCTGAGCTGAGCTCTGATCCTTGACGAAATGGGTCAGAACAGAATTCTATCCTTGGTGTCTTTGAGACATATGGTGATTCCTCACTGGGCCTCGCGTTTCAGTCAAACCTTTCTTCAGTGGGTCTCACTGATCCTGCAGTTGGACCATGCCCTTTCTGCAACCGTGTAGGTGGGCTGTGTGATGCCTCAAGCCAGAGGATAAGGGTGCTGACCCTTTGCAACTCAATGATCCATGGCAGAGGATGACCGCAAATGCAACAGCAGATCATGACGGTACTCAGTTGGTTCAACATGCCCAAGGAGATGCAAAAGAGACTTGATGGATGCGGAGGGATGAGACGGAGAGACAAAAGTGATTCAAGAGTCTCTCCGCTTTATCATTCTTCACTGTCATGTCACTTGTCCATTTCTTAGCCTCTCTTGGACAAGTGCCTCAGGTCTTTTTTTCACATGAAAAAGGAATGTGAAGGGAGAAAGAAGGTGTGACAAGCGATGCAAGAAGATGTCCCACCTTCCCTCATTCCCTTTCTCCTCTCTCTTCGCTCGGTGAAAGTGCATGAGAAGGTATAATGTAAAATCCCAGTCCTCTCTCTATCACTTTCCAAGATGAACCGTGTCAATAGGAAAATGATGACATGAAGGATCGACTCACACATAGACAGTTCTTATAAGATAGAAAATGATGTGTGAGGACATGCTTCCCTCTCTCTCCTTTCCTTCACCCAATCTCTGTTTCCAAGATAAAGAGTTGGGGTGATAAAGGGAAATGAGGTTGAGAGAAGAGGGGTCAGGTCATTTTACATTTGTCCCGCCACTCACCTAGCTCCTGTCGACCATCTGTAAAATCACTGACATGCCATTCCTTCCTCGTCCGTCATTAACCTGTCAATGCTGTCCCCAAGGAAGAAGACAGCATATGATGGTTTATGATAAAGAAGGAATAGAGGCATGAAAACCAGACAGTTGATTAGTGCGTGCGGATGATTTGGGAAGCCACCCAAGCGATTGATTTTCACCCATCGTGCAGATTTGGGACTCTGCGGACTGCCAAATGGGACTAGAGGCCTTGCCCATCATGTCTTAGCGAGGGAAGTGTTTTTTGTAAGTCACAGAGCCAACTTTGCATGACAGAACCACAATTGGACACATGTGCTTGGAGATATGATTCATGGATTTTTCCATCTCGCGCATTTCCCCATCTTTCGCGGCTCAAACAGTTCAAGTTGTTGTTTGATCCTCTCCTTTGCGCTCAGAAACGGTTTCCCTTGTCACAGCATGAATCACTTATTTTGTTTCGACAAGAGCAAGAGCGCAAAGTTTTCATCACTTCATGTGCGTCCAAGGCTCGGCAGTGAGTCAGATGGCAGGAACCTGTGAAACCTGACTTGACCAGGTTAGACATGAGACGCTGAGTGAGGCGGGAATGTGAGTGAGCGGAAAAGGGGGCTGCTTTTGCCACGGGAAATGCATTGTTTTCAGCTCTGCTTTGCAGGCACAATGGCAGGACCTGAAATACATGGCGAGGAGCCGTGATGCAGATCAAGAGTCCAAGTTTTTAACATGTGCGACATTTAACCCGAAGTAACACACAACATCCTCTGAGTTTGTCTCAAGATGGGTGAGCCACCAAGTGGGTTATTCGATCGTTCCTTTTTTTGAATAAACAACAAACAAATGCCAAAAGCAGAACCCTCAAAGAAGGTCCACCCATGTTTCTGATTCTTTCGCGGTTGCACGCGGGCGTGTGGCAGATGTTTGTGACTGATTCCTTTAGGAGTCAGATGGCACACACGGCAATTTTCTGGACACGGGTTCCGCAGCGAGGCTGGACCGCACACCCAAGGGGCAGTCTTTACGAACCAACCAGCAGGCCAATGCTAAAGGAGGTTGCTTCAACCTTTGTACCAGGAGCTGGCCCTAGCGCTAAAGGGCCTTACTTCAGTGGTCTCCCCCGATCCTTTGGGGCGAGGGGGAAGAATGCATGGGAGGCGCCTGCTGCCAGATAGACCGCTGGATCTGGGCCAGCCCGGCTTTTTGGGCTTGCATAAAGAGCCTTGGGATGCGCCAGGTTTGACCAAAGCTGAAGAGAGAGAGAGAGAGAGAGAGAGAGAGAGAGAGAGAGAGAGATATTTTCGGGAAAGAGTGGGAGCATTGCGGTTTTGTTGAAGCTCAGGAATGGATTATACTGTTCCAATGTGTGATCTTCCTGCTGCTTCTAGACTTTTTTGCCCGGCTCGCAGCTGAAGAACCCCGGCTAAGTTGCGTTACCAACTTCCGCTTTGCATTTTCAGGTGCTCCGGAAAGTGAAGTCCAGCATCCGCAATCACGTGGCTTTGACAGCGCCTCGATTTGTCAATAGATGCACATCACATCCATCACGTGTCACAGAGCTTCTGCATTGATGCATTTGCGTGCGAATTGCAGGTATTTTGGCTTTGTGTCGGCATGCTCTACAACGTGCACATTTGGCTCCTTGGCAGTATGTTTTTTTTGTTTTGTTTGGGTTTCCTCTCAGTCAACTGGGAAACTGTCCAAGACGCGAGCAAACGACACCGCTACCTCTAGTTGGGTCCCTTCTTTTTTGGGAGGACCTGAATCGCATGTGCATGAGTGGACATTTGAGTCATAATCAGAACCCGGGTAAGTGAAGGTTAGTAAGGGAGAAGTTTCAGCCAGAATCCACCTTTGTAGTTCTTTACATTGGTTTGGGTGCAACTTTTCGAATACCAGGTTTTGATGGTGACTCATTGGTCGGTCGTTGCTGAATCTTTCTTTCTGGTGTTCTTTGGCCCAGGCACCTCTACGGGCCAGATCAGGCCATCTACTGGTTCAGCGGCTTTGCCTTGGAGTGGATGCCGCGCGGCTCCAATAAAACGAGACAAGTCGGGCGAGTCGCGAGTCGCGCGTGCGACTTGGATGGGGCCCAAGATTCTGATCCAGCGTCTTTGGTTGAGGCTCTCGATGGACAATTTGGTGGTCTTTAGCCTCATCATGACGACATATAGAGTGCCGGCATGCCTCACACGGAAGGCCGGGAATGTCAGAGTGCTCCGGAGATCCAGCGATGCCCATTTAAGCATTCATGCAGCCAACACATGAGTGAAGGAAGCTCATGTCATTTGTTTCACCTGTATTTGCAAAGCAAAAATGTCTTCCAGAGCTTCTGGCTGGAACAACATGTCGGGACAGCCATGGCCTGCAGGCCTTGTTCGTGGGCATCGTCGGATGCGTTGTAATGCGTCTTGGCTTCTTCCTTGCAGCTCGGCAAGGTATGAAGACGTTGCCTTCTCGCTGAGCGAATGTTGCAGCTATTGTCGACAAGATTTCAGTGTCTCCAGACATCTTTGCTGCAATTCTGCAGTAACCCTGCAGCTTGGTTGCGACGCTCCCTGCCGTCGGAGCTTGGAACACCCTTCCCCAATGTATCTTCCAGTTCAAGTTTCAGTCCCCCCGTCTGGCCTTTGCCCGTCTAAGATCCTGGAAGATATTCTGAAGCATGAGAAGATTCTGCAGATCTGCATGGGCATCGTGTGCCCTGTACGAAATTTTTTGCAGCTGATGTGGCGGCCAGTGATGCGGATGGCCAGGCTCATGTGCAGTGGCGGCCAAGCGATGTTCGAGGATGACGAAGGTTCCGCGCAAAGACGGGCGTGCCGTTTTGAGAATATTCGGGATTGCTGGTAGACTTCCCTTTTTGGAAGCAAGGCAAACTCCCTTGGATTCGTGTGTTTGCCATTTGGGGTCTCATGCAGGTGATGTGGTGGACACCTATGTGGTGCGAGCTACCAAGGCCAGTGCGAACGGATGGGGACTGGATTGGTTTCTTGAGGATGTGGTTCATCCTCTGCGGTTTTCCGTTTGAGCAGTCTGATGCTCTTTGAGCATTGGCATGACGTCTTGCGGTGAAATTTCAGGTCGGAGTGCTTTCTATCCTGACATAGTCTGATGTTGCTCGTTGTGCATTCTTGATTTGGGCTGCTGCTGATGCTTGGGTTGACATGGGTGAGTTATCACTTTTTAGTAAAGGGGCTCTGGCGCCTGTTTTGATGGGGCTTGCATTGAAGCCTTTGTAAGAATTAAGCGGGTGATTGGTAGAATCAAATATGACTGGGTTTTGGTGGTTGCTTATTTGAGATTCTCATTGAGCATGGTTATGTTTTTTTGAATTGGGTAACATATTGCATGACGCTCGATGCACTCGGGTCCGCTCACTGGCAGCTCCAGGCATGCTTGGGCAGTAGACTGGAGGAGAGCTACGACACGGACACCCACAGGCAGTTGGGTAACAATACACCCCGCGCGTTTCCGAGGTTTACATTGGTCTTGGAACGCAGATCAGGTTGAACCTAGCGTCTGATGAAAACAAGCTTTGGACTGCTCGGTCTGCTGCAATTTGCGTACTTGGCACAAGTTTGTTGGCACAGAGACGATTCTTTTTTTGAACGGCTCATGTTTTATCCTTTGGGATTGACAGGTTATTCGTATACCGGGACCGGAAGTACAAAGCCACCCTGCTGCTTGGCTCGTGCTAAACGGATGGCTGCGTTCAGTTACACGCAACAGTTCAGATGGACGGAATTATTCAGACTCAATGTGTGCAGCACGCATAGACTCAGGCTGGTTTTTGTCATCCTCCTCCTAGAGTTCACAGATCTCATGTTTGCTTTGGACAGTGTGAGCGCAAAGATCGCTGCGGTGCAGAACCTAGAAGGGGCAGTACTTGCACATTACTGGCTGGCTTTGGTATGGCTGTCGGAACCCCCTACATTTTGGTATGCACTTTTGTAAGAGAAGTGCATGGTGGAAAGAGGAGAACTGTGATGGTTGAATTAAGGACCTAGTTGATGCATGAAGGAGACATATGCCATGAGCAGAAGCGATGCCACCATTTTTTGTGGATTTTTCTTTCAGGTGCCCAATCAGTTCATCGCCTACAGCTCGACGGTCATGGCGGTCTTTTCGCTGCGGGCCGCTTTCTTCATCGTCCACGACTTGGTGCAGTCAGTGGAGGCCGACGCCTTGAAAGTCGCTTTTTTCTAGGGGTACCTTCCATTTCCATTCTTTCCAGGGATCCTTCCTTCGAGAACCTCCGGAAACCCAGGGAAAACGGCAAGTTTCTGGAAAAACCAATGGTTGAACAGAATGGGGAATCAACCCCTATATTTTTGGCTGGGAACCCCCTTTTGTGGCTGGCTGGTAAGGGAAACCAAAACGACCTGCCCAACTCTTGGGATTTGCTGATTGCCCGGGTTTGCACCTGCACACACACACACACACACACACACAGACGATTTTTGTGAAGCGGTCCCATCTGCGTGAATGTCAAGCTTGGAAAGTCATTGTGCGTCGGACGCAGGTTCTGAAGATGCTTGGATGCACTTAGTCAGCTTCCTGCATGATGGCTTCTGTGTTGTACCCAGAGTTCACCCTTTTGCGCAGCCCCTTGCCAGTGAGGTATGGGGTGGCCTTTATTGTGGCTTACATCGGCGTCCAGTTGATACTTTCAACCTTCCGCTATGTGCCGGAATGGAGCACGTGCGCAGTCTCTGGCTTTGCGACTTGGCGTTTATACCTAATTTTGACCAGCACAGTGCGTATTTTGGTATCCCTCGGCAGGTCTGCTTCGGGTTTTGCGAATGAGAATGCGTGCGAGAGACGGGGCGCTCCGGCCAATTCGCACTCTCGATTTGGTTTGTGGCTAATTGCTGGGGGAATTCTCGTGTTCTGTTTGGCTTTTCAGATTTAGCTTTCCAGTGTTTGCTCCCTCATTCTTCCCGCCTTTCATCTGCGAACCGCCAGGGAGTAGCTTCTTTGGGCCCCCGCGAGTAGAAGGGTCAGTGTTTGTAAAGCATAGAGGCTCCCACAAAGCGGGACTATGGGGAAGTCATGGGTTTATGGGAGTGGCTAAGTTGCCACTGTGCAACTTGCATGCAATTTGTGGCCTTCCACACATTTTCCTGGTATCCGTCCGGGTCCAACATGCACCCTGCTACTAGGTACTGCTGGCATGCCTATTCGCCTCTTGATCTGCAATCTCACACGTTGCCAAAAGCGTGAGAGCGCTCTGACTCAGGCCTGGTGCTGTCAACGGAAGACCAACAACGCCAAAGCAGGCCGAAGTGCAGATGGTTCGGCTCAGCGCGACAAAAATTGGGGACTTTTTTTTGCTTTCCCTTTGAAACCACCCCAAAAGGTTGCCCTCAAAAACCCACTAAATGATTTGGCTGAGGCCTTGGCTGAGCGGGCGTTTTTTGTTTCTTCTTCACACTGCTCTCAAGACCCCGCAGGAGCAGAGAGGCATGCTGATTGAGACTGGAGTTCTGAGCGGCCCGTTGCAAGGGTGCTTGCTGAGTCGCTGAAGCAAGAAGCGTTCAGCATCTCTCTTGTCTGTGTGCTGAAGCCCTTTGCCGTCCTCTGAATTGACAACTTCAGAGTGTGAACTCTGTGGCGCGTTATGTTTGACGCTCGGATGCGATGCTGCATGAGATTGACAACGTTGACCTATACGTTGCTTCCTCGGCAGCAGAAACAAACGTGCGGCCGACAGACACGTGCGGCGGGGCACCAGCGGAGACTAACAGGACAATTGAATTCCACAAGGAACACTATGGGGACTATGACGACGGTGAAAATAATGATGACGATGGTGGTGATGATGATGCTGACGATGATGATTGTGACAATGATGCTGATCACACGCTTCCCTTTTTGGAGCGGGGTCGGCGGATTGCGTTGTCAGTAGTTGTTATCCATCCATTCGCATTTTGTGGTTCTGTTTTGATCGATATCTTCCTATTTCGGTATCAGTTGTTGCCATGAATATGTTCCTATTTTGTTCTTAGTATTCGTGATGAGTCTGTTCCTTGGTCGCTGATAGCAGTTGTGATGAACCAGTATAGTATCCTTTTACGTACAGTGATGCAAAGTCGGCTTGGGAGTCGTCTAAAAGTTCCAAAAAGGCAAAAAATCGCCGGGTTTGGCAGACTTGACAAACTTGACAAAGCTCTTGAAGCCGCCGCAGTCCGCCGCCGCTGCTGCCGGAACTGTTATACGTTTGTGCTTGTGTGAGAACAAGCGAGTACACGAACTCTGGTACTGCGCCGGAAGCATGGTTTTTTTTTACCGAACGCGAGCCATGTGCAGGCCACATGCGTATCACTGCCGAGCCACTGCCTTCCCACTGCCGGGCTACTGCCGGGCTACTGCCGGGCCACTGTGTGCACCAGACTGACAGGATTCTAGTTTACACCCTTGAATGGCGAAGAAACCTGCAAAAAGCCGCGCCGCTACTCCGTGATCAAAGTCGGAATTCCGACCCTCCGGCACATCGTTGACACCTCGGAGCTCGAGCCGTAGTAATTTATAATGCGACTGGGGAAGATGTGCGGCGGGTCCGCATAAATGCAGCTGGGCAGAACAGCACACGTAGATGGGCCAGCGCACCCTTGGCGTCGGTGATCTTGTGCTGCTGCTGGATGATGCAGCGCAAGGCAGACTTGTTCCGCTCAGCAGGCCTGCTTGCACTCCGTGTTCACTCCCAGGTCCTACTCGATGTACTTAATGGGGATCCAGTCGTTGTCGATGTTGACGCTCGGACTGAAGACGTGGATCCTTGTAAAGCGCCGGCCTGGAGGTGCGTAGCGCGGACACGTCGTGACCTGCACCACTGCTATTTGCGGAACTCGGTCTTCTTGCGCTCCCTGCGCCTGAGCACGACGTAGACAAGCACTTCCACTTCAGACGCCTTCTGTCGGGCGCGCTGAGAGGCCCTGCCGGGCGTCGGACGGCCTCTGCGGTACACGCCCTGCTGCGCAACAGCTTCTCCGGAAAGTGGGGCTTCTTTGCGCGATAGCAGCTACTGCCTCTGAGCACCGTGCAACGACTGCAGCTGCTTCCGTCCAACGTGGCCGTGCGGCACGAGCAAGCTGGTGGTCGTAGACACTTTGCGAACACGCCGTAGCTGCACAGGCCCACGGCCCTGAACACGCTTTTCATCCAAGGCCGGCGCATACAAATCTGCACCTAAGTCAGATTCCAGAAGCTGCAGCTTATTAGGAGTACGCTCAACATGTAGTTTCCCTCTGCTGGAGAGTGCGCAACCAGCACAAGTTGGACGCCGTCATCAGCTGAGCGTCCTGCTTCCAAAGGAGAAACTGTACCGGCTGTACGAGCAGGCGACCAAAGACCCCTTCAGCTTTTCGTGTACTGCTTAAAGCCCAAGAACAAAATGTTCTATCACAAAGCGTTTTGTGCTTGAAAAAGATGCCGACGCTCGTGCTCCACCTCCGTCCGCCCCAACACCGCCCAGTTGCCCGTCCACACTTGTCGAACGGACAGGAGGTGGGGCGACAGGCTGATTTTGAACGACCTTAAGCTGCGCCAGCGATTCTCCGGCGTCGGTAACTCCGCTGCGCCGTCCGCCTTTTCGACTGTAGACCACATGCTCGGTCCGAGCTTCGTCTTGGAAGGGCAGCAGGTCTTCGAGTTTGCGCGCAGCGAGGTCTATCTGCGCTGCTCCCAGCTGGCCAACCCACCAGCTGGTGGTTCGCGCGCCTGCTCCCGGGACCGGCGGGTCGCGGGTTCGATTCCTCCCTGGTCCGCGGGGCGGGCGTCGCAAGATGCAACTTGCATAAAGCAACTTGCGCAGACCAACTTGCACCGACCAGTTTGCGCAGAGCGCCTTGCCTAGAGCAACTTGCGCAAAGCAACTTACGCAGAGCAACTTGCACAGAGCAACTTGCACAGAGCAGCTTGCACAGAGCAACTTGCAGGGAGCAACTTGCACGGAGCAATTTGCACAGAGCAACTTGCAGGGAGCCACTTGCAGGGACCAACTTGCACGGAGCAACTTGCGCGGAGCAACTTGCGCGGAGCAACTTGCGCAGAGCAGCTTGCGCAGTGCAACTTGCGTAGAGCAACTTGCGCAGACCAACTTGCACCGACCAGTTTGCGCAGAGCACCTGGCCTGGTGCTGTCTCGCGCTTGCTTCACGAATGCTTCGTGTAGGGAAAAGAACGCATCCTGCAGCGTTGGGCGGACCTCGCTTGCGATGTTATGCTTTCGGGCCAGCCGTGGTCTAGTTTCTCGTTGTCATGTCACCTTTTCTTGGTGTTGCGCAGGTCTGGCAGTCGCAGCGCTACTCATTTCTCACGAGCGATTTGTGTTGGGTCTCTGCAGCCGTCTCGCACTGGGCCGGCAGCGATGACAAGCAAATGCTGCCGCTACCACGCAAGCGCAGAATCAGCGTCAGTGACTGTGAGCGTACACCCAGATGCAGGAGATGCTGCGCCTGCCACGAAATTTGCAAGCCATCTCCAAAGCGCTGCGCCTGCCACGCAAAACGGGGCCCTCAGCCGCGCGCTCGACAACATCCAGTCCCTCTAGACAGCTATTTAGACAGCTACCAAAATGATGCCCGTGCCACACAAACGTGCGCCCAGATGCAGGAAATGCCAAAATGCTGCGCCTGCCACAACATCAGTCCCTCTAGACAGCTACCAAATGCTACCCATGCCACGCAAACGTACACCGGCAACATCCAGCCCCTTTAGACAGCTACCAAAATGCTGCCCACATGCCACACAAACGTACACCCAGATGCTGCCCATGCCACGCAAACGTGAGTGAGTCAGTGAGTGAGTGAGTGAGCGAGTGAGTGAGTGAGTGAGTGAGTGAGCGAATAAGTGAGTGAGCGAATAAGTGAGTGAGCAAGTGAGTGAGCGAGTGAGTGAGTGAGTGAGCGAGCGAGTGAGTGAGTGAGCGAGTGAGTGAGCGAGTGAGAGCGAGTGAGAGCGAGTGAGAGCGAGTGAGAGCGAGTGAGAGCGAGTGAGAGCGAGCGAGCGAGCGAGTGAGTGAGTGAGTGATTGAGTGAGTGAGTGAGTGAGTGAGTGAGTGAGTGAGTGAGAGTGAGTGAGTGAGGGAGGGAGTGAGTGAGTGAGTGAGTGGGTGAGTGAGTGTGAGAGTGAGGGTGCGGCGGATGCGGTGGGTGCGGCGGGGCGGGTGCCAGCGCGACGGGTGCAGCGCTAAAAATAAGAACTCCACACAAGAATGTGGGGAACAAACACACAAATACACAAACAAACGCTTGGCGGGGGTGGACGGTTGGCAGATTCTTTTGGGTCTTGATGCGGTTGACATGTCATGTCCTATTTTGGTTTTGAGAAGGGCAGCACCTGCAAGCTCGAATCAGGCCAGCTCAAACTTGTTAGTTTTGCGTTGTTCTCTTGGATGACGGCATCTGTGGACACCGCTTTGACTTTGTTTCGGTTTGACACCAGAATGCAAGTTTGGAGCATTGGCTCAAGCAGGTACAAAGTGTGAAGCGTAAGAAACGTCATATGTTTGTCAACTAAAACTGCTTTACTATATACATGGGGTGGATTTGTTTGTACTAACACCATTTGACTGCCCTGTAGCTGTTCTGTTCAGAAAATGTGCCGCATTCACTGTGGAACTCGTAGACCACAATTTTTCCCGAACAATGTTGCATGCATCATTTGACGGCATGGCAAAAACCCACAGGATGCAACAAGCCGTGTTTGCCCTGGGGATTGTGGATTCCAACAAAGGCCCTGGTTGCTGACGTCATTGATCGCGCCAATGCTGGGCAAGCGCACAGACGGCCCGACAAGGCTGCCTGCCCCGATCATCGGGAATTCGATGCTACCTGCCGTTCTACAACGGCCGCGTGCGAATTGCTATTGGGTAGCTGTGGGGTGGTGGGGCGCGGTGCTCTTCATCACTTATGCCTCATGGTGTTGGACTGGATGTCAGGCTTACATGCCTTTCATATCGGACATGGGATTGCAGGCGCACATGCCAATCTTATTTGTGGTGGGGACAATGGTGGAGGGGTGTCTTCTGGGACTTTGGCTGTTGTGGGCCACAATTGCAAGACATCACCTCCTCAAAGCATTGCGACTGCAGATGGTTTGGCTTGAGTGCTTATGTGCATTGAGCGGCTTGCCAGTGGTGGCAGGTACCATGTTCATTGGTTTCTTCCCATGGGACTCCTATTCCTACCTTCATTTCGCATGTGCGAGTGGAGTATTTTGGGGTGGCTGCGGCCACTGCTTCTTCAGCACCTTGATATGTCATGGCATCAGCATGGATTATTCCTTGATGCCGGGCCACACAAGCTGGATCCGGCGATGGCACAGATGGCTTGCGCCGCTCTTGTGCCTCTGCTTCTTCGGGGTGTTTCTTTGTTTCTGCGCGGCGATGGATGCCTCGCCGGAGCGCTTCCACTGGAGCTGGTGGCCCGAGCTGCAGGCCGTCGCCCGCGAGCGGTTCTTGGAGTACTGCGGTCAGGGCAGTTGGCACGGGCTGCCGTGGGTGAACACCTGCGCCGCCTTGGAGTGGTTGACTTTGGCCCTGCTTTGTGTGTCCATCTCGGCAGGCGGGGGGGAAATTCGATGCGTGCATAGGCTGATAAGGGTGCTATGTGTTTTGCTTTTCTTGCGAAGGTCAGGCAGACTTTGAGATGTACTTGGCGCTCATGGATGGGGTTATAGAACTTCCTGCTCCTTCTCCGCTAGATCAGCCACAGCTCTTGCTGGGCCTGAAGATGTCAAGGGTTTGGTGGGTGATGCTCACATTGTTCCCACCCTTGGCGGCCTTGATTCTCTATGCCCTGTGGGTCTCCAGCGGATGTTCATGGGCGCCTCCCTTCATGGAACACCTGGCCGGCCGCACGTCCCATGTGTACAAGCTGACCCTCTGGGTGTGGAACGCCCTGCTGGCCGTGTGGCTCTTCCACGTCTTCGGCTGTCAATGGCTCATGGCGCGCCAGGGGAGGCCTGCAAACAGCCTCCTGCTGCTGGCCGGCATCAATGTGGCAGGCCGGATTGATAGGGCAGCGAAGTGAAGGGGGTCTTAGGTAGGATTGCGATGAAGGTACGTGGGTCTGATCACGAGTGATCTTAGAGGCTTGGTTCAGGACCTGGCCGTGATCTGCGCGACCTTGCCGAGGGTCCAGAACGGTGCGAAACAAACATTGGGTTCTAGTGCGTCCCACCTTTCAGTACCCCCCTCAACCCAAAGCCCCGATCCACCTCGAACCATCCTGATAAGCCAAACTCAGCTTCCTGCCAACGAAAATGATCTTTCGCTCCCAGGCCATCGGTCTCCTGGCCAAGATGAGCTTCCCCAGGCGATTTGTAGAGTAGCATAATCCACTTGCCGTTTCCCGATAGGCGCACACCTCCTGACCTCTTGGAACGAACCCCTCCCCCTCCGAGTTTCCGTTTTGGCGCTAGGAGGTGGCTTGATGGTTTGCGGGCTGGGCTTGGCGGCGGAGCCCTGGGATTTCGGCCTGGCAGTGCACTTGATGGGGGCTGACAGCGTGTTGGCAGGCAGGAAGGTGGCTGGGGCATGTCGGATTTGAAGGAGTTAACAGTGAGGCTACCCTGAGCCTTGGTTTCCCAAGTAGGTATGGGTCAAAACATAACCACCAGAGGACCGCAGGTTTTAGTCTTTGGTTCCATTTACCAGGGTTCCATTTTGGGTACGCATCTTTGGCCCACAGCCAAGTGATTGGCTGAGATTGAGAACACGCAATCAGATGGGCAGATACCCTGGCTTCGTGTGAGGCTTTGGCCTGTGGTCCACTGCGTCCATACTGCTGTCGCAAGCGGCAAACACCAATCCGTCCGGCTGGCTTCTCGGCCGAAAGCGAGTGCTCGGGGATGGGCGGATGGGCGGGGCGATGAGTGCTCGGGCGCGGCTGGCGCAGGTTTGCGCCATAAGACTTGCAAGGCACTGCATGCACTTGAGGCAGGGCCAAACACTGCGGCTGCTGATTTGGACAGGAGCCTGGAGCGTGCTTTCGCTCAGCGGTGCCTTGGCGCCTTGTGAGTCACGCAAAAAGCCCAGTGCCCATCCGGCAGCGGCAGGTTCTGGGCTGATGTTCCACTTGTGGGCGTCTTGGCCGCAGCCGATGCGGGTTGTACGCGTTGTCCTGGCCGACCCGCTGGGACTTTCTGATTTGAGCTGGGGGTAAGAATGTGGCAAATTTGGCGGACTCTTCTGTGGTGTTGGGGCTCGGTTTCGTCTTTGCTTGAGCCATGATCACCATATTTGGAAGCAGCGAAGCAGGCGCGTGCCGAGAATCAGCGTTCTCTTTTGCCAGGGTTCGCGAGTTCGCTTTCAGGTCTAAAAAGTATGTCTCCCACCAATTCGCGACATTTTCACTTGATTTTGGGGGGACAGGGTCTACGAAAAAACGTTAAAAACGTGTCCAATTCGAGACCTCTCCACTCGATGAAAGCCACCGACCCCCCCTCCCAGGCCGCCGGCGGCAGCCTCCGCCTGGGCGTGGTGGATCTGCGTGCAGAGGTGCGGAAGAACTTCCGGGCGCAGTGCGAGGGGTTCTCCTTGCCCTCCAGCGGCTATGCCTTGCGCCTCGGGTGGAAGCTTTGGGCGGGCTGAAAAGCGAAAAGCAGCAGCCTGATTGAGCATGGAGACGTCGTAAAATTGTGGACACGGTGTCAAACGAGATATTTATTGTCTTATGATTTGTGTGTAAGTCCAACAGAGATGTGAGGGACAGCTGAATTGTCAGTGCTTTGTTGGACAAACTGGTTGAAGGAGCGTCAGATAATGGGCTGATGCAGCATTTGGGTCCATGTGGCGTCTTTATGAACCAAACAACAGGTGGCGAAGCAGGGCATTGCGCCTTTCCATATGCGCTGGTGATGTCTGTGCAGATGTCTGTGCAGATGTGAGAGATTCGACCTGGCGGTGGCCCTTTTGCTTGAGGTGCCAATGGCTTTTCATGGGCCTGCTGCACGCCTTTGTGCCTTGGTCAGCACAGATTGCCTCGAAGCTTGGCTTGACATGGAAGCCATGCGCCTGGCCATCAAAGCTTCCGCAATAGACTGGCAGCTCCCAGTTGGTTTCTGCCTGGCGCCCTTTTTAGCTCATCCATTATGTTTGAGTCAAGGATTTGGTTGTTTGCTTCTCCCGTAGGTGGTGTGCACCATCCACGACTCCGAAGCTTGCTGGTCGGCCGCTTGGCCGGTAACATGCTCCTCCTTTGAGATGGGTTGTAGAGGCGATGAGGCTGGCCTGTTGGGATGGCCAAGGGTGGCCAAGGTGGTCCGGTTTGGAGATGGCCATGGGTCAAAGTCCAATGCCCCCAGTGAACATCCCAATCCCCACTAAAATAGACTGAAATGTGTAATGCACCTACCCCAAAATGGTACCCACAGCCAATCGCAATTCTGAAGTGTGCTTTCAGAAATGGGGACATCTCATACGCTTAAGGTTTCCTTTGAGATCCTCAGTAACCTGAACGCATGAGGCGACCAAGGTTCAACAAGATGGCCTGAAAGCCTCACGAGTCATTGCCAGCTCAGGCAGTTGCCGCCCATGCCCGCTCTGGCAAAGTGGATCTGGTTCGGCCGCTGCTCGGCCGCATGTGGCGCCTCGGGCCTCGGGTTTGACATCGGTTCTGAAGTTCTGAGCCTCAGGCTGAGCGCACGGAAGCTCGCCATGCTGGGTCTGGTGCTTGGGGGTCTCTCGGCGTAGGTTTGGTGGGATTTTTGGGTTCGGGCGAAGTCCTGGTCAAGACCTGACTTGCCGGATGGACTCTCAGGGTGCTTTTGAGGGGGCATTGCTGAGGCTACCAAGGTGTTGCAGACTGCGTGGTGCTGCGTTGTGCTGGGTTGTGCTGGGTTGTGCTGGGTTGGGCTTTCACGGTATTTGCAATTTGGTACGGCATTTGGATGGTTGTTGTTTATCCACCTTGAAAGGGCCGCATGCACTTTCAAAGTTTGGCAGCGTGAAGAAGTCGCTGTTTGCCGCGCACGCCGAGGTGCCATCCATGCAAGCGGTACGATGTCCTTGTGGTAAGCAATCGCGAGGCACGCGCTTCGCAACCCATTTTGCAGGCATGAAGGTCTTGACGCTGACACAGTGGATGCAAGCAGATGACTTGTTTGGGAGATTTGCATGCTCCAGTCCAGCGTCCCCAAGTCTGCTGGGCAAGCCGCAAACAGGTGAAACCGACTTGTGGCAAGACGGCGCTTGGAATGGTCAGCTTCCACATTGCAGGCCAGAGGGGGTCTTTAAACTTGTGTGTCGTTTGCCAAAACGATTGTTGTGTCGAAATCATTTGTAAGGGAAACCGCCGCAAGGATTCCTCATCCCTAACGTGGAAATGTCAACAAAAGGGGGACGTGATTGTGACAGGGGCTCATTGAGAATAAGCCCGCGAAGTCGAGCTTTGACTGATTTTGATTCACCGGACAGCATCACGGAATTCCACCACAGGACGAATAAACAAAAAGTGGTACTCATACATGATGCCGTGCCATTTGGGGCCTCTTTGGTGTCTGATTTCTTATAATCAAGACAGCATGATTAATTGAATGGAATCCATCCATCCATCCATCCATCCATCCGTCCATCCATCCATCCATCCATCCATCCAAAGTGAAGGACTTCCTTCCCTCTCTGAATTTGTACCCCTGATGCGTCTTTGATGCAAGAAGACAACGTGGGTGGTTCCTCCCGGCATATTGCCTACTGTGAGATGCCTGTCCCAGGACGGCATGCAAGCGATTGAGAACCACCAGATCGACCACCAGAATGTAACTTGGAAGCGATTCCGCAGCGTCCCGTTTTCGGCTCAATCCTCTCAAAAAGGGATTTGCTGGAAAGGAATCTCCAAGAGCGAATGTTCTTTGGTTTCATGCCTCCGTTAATTCCGGGTCCTTTGAGCCCAGTTGAGTAGGTACTACCCCGGTCTTCCGCCCGTATCCCATGGAAGAATACACTTGGGGATGTTGCATCCTCCCACCAAACATGGGTTTCAGACTTCATCCTGGTGATTCACTAGGGGGTTTGGGAGTTCACTAGGGGGTTTGGGAGCCCCTCGGTAGCAAAGTTTTGATTGTCATTCACCTGAAGTAATTCTGATGGGCCCGTGCCATAACAAAGATGAGGCTCTGTGTACCAAGCCACAGGGTACAAGCAGCAGGAACCAATGTCCCCTCCTGGATGAACCCACCCTTCTGGTTCTAGGGTCTAGGGGCCCTGCTTGCACGCATCGGCTTGAAGGACACTCATCGGATCCCTTTGCACGGGAAAATGGTTGAAGGCAGTTCCGTGGAACTCACTGTACCCCACATGGACTTTGGTTTGGCGTGCCAGTTTGGGATTGCGAAGCTTCGCGCCAAGACTCTGAGCTGCTTCGCGGGCAGATGTGAAGTGCGTTCCGTAGCTTTACCTCTTCCAGGAGACTGGCCATTGCAAATGCCGAAGGTATGAAGCCTTCTCAGAGCTTCGGGGGCAAAAATGGTTGGTTCTCAGTTCTCGGAAAGTGGTCGAGTAACCCATGAGAGGCTCATGCCTGTCCAGACACCACCTTTCGACCTGCTGGGCTCTTCGATTTGGGTGTGGCTCAAATTTAAACAGGAGGGGTTACGCAGGTTTTGGTCCATGTTTCCACTTACCAGGGTTCCATTTTGGTACCGTTTTTTGTGAAGCCACAGCCATTTGTTGTTTATATTTCGAGGTCCCAAAACTGGTGACAACAACATATTATGTTCGGGAGAAAGGCAAGTGAGTGCCAACGGTTCATACATGCCATGTAGATCAAATTGAGAGCGGTCTATTGATTCGGGAGGAACACGAGGACCAGCAGGAAAAAGGACGGCACCCTGTTTTTTCAATGTACTTTAGGGGACCCACATATTTTGGCCGGCTCAGAGTGCCGTAGTCAAAAGACCACTTGGGTTGGTACGGATCTGAGAGCATCTAGACCGCCATTATAAGCATCCCTATTTTAAAGGAACCATCACCACGACCCATCGGCATTTTGGGCCATGGCTGGTCTCCCCTGCACAGCCGCGACGCAAACCGCAAAACGAACAGCGGCAAGGTGGGCCGCCGCTGCGGTACCAACACGGCGCTCGGGTCTGTGACCGCCTTTAGAAGAGCGAGACGCGCTGCTCATTGCGACATGGCTCGCGAGAAGCGGTCGGGCGGGTCGTGTTAAGGGGCCCCTGAGACGTGACAAACACGTACCAAGTGCGGGCTTCTCTGCCATTTTCCCCAAGCCATTCATTGGAACCTGTCAACTGTGTCAACCTTTGGTACCATACGTCCTTGCCCTTGACTAGGAGCAGATGCCTAAATTCTTGGTTTAGGGTTGAATCTTGACTTTGTTGGCAATCGAAACCAACCAATTTTGAGGGTCCAAATCCATATTTTGAGGCAAACGCAATGGACCAAGTTTCACAACAAAAAGAAACTCTTTCATGAAGTGGAGTTCATCTGGTTCTTTGTGGGTACTCCTGGCTGAACGTTGACCAAGTTAACCAGGTCTGACTTTTGCTCCCGTCGTGAGGTGGTTTACATTGGGTGCGGCCCACTTTCCGCGACACAAAAGCAAACCCTTTAAAGTCACAAAGTAGTCATAATAAGGATGGTCCGCTTTGGAACCAATTTTACTGAGCACCACGAAGGTGTTTCAAGATCTGACAGGGTTCTTTACCCCTAGGCAGACTTAGGCCCAGGGGCTGTTCCCATTTTCAGTCGACCTTGGGGCAAACAAATGAAACTCTGAAACCAATAGGGCTGCCGTTGTTCCAACTACATTTCCCCTTGACTTTCTTATGTCCAAACCTGAAGCTTGGGGTTGACAGGCTTCTTCGTGTCTAGGCCCAGCAAGTTTCACCTTTGTCTAGCTGGCGAGCCAGCAGGCCAGTTGTCATGGCACTCAACTCGCCTTTTGTCTTTTTGTGCCGTTTTAGATGTTCCTTCATCTTCCAGCGCAAATTACAGTGACGTCGCTGAGGTTGCGACGTCACCCATGATGAAGGTTCTTTCAGAGGGATCCGTCATTTTCTAGAATATGTTCAGCCAGCAAGATGTCGCTTTTTGCAAAGGGTCCACTGGTCTGGCCCAGTTGAAAGTTGTTTCATCGCTTCTTGGTGGATGTTGTCATCGTTGAAAGCACTGCTTTGTTGACAATCCCGTGTTGCTTAAACATTGAATTTGACCTATTCAGGTGGAATTCCTCTTTCTCATCTTTTTCTTGCGACCGAAAAGAAAGGCATTAACAGGTAAAGCCGGGGGGTATCTGAATCTAGTTGCGAGTGGAGTCCGCCTCGTTTGGTTTAAGTCCATGAAATGTCAAGCCTTGATGAACAAGCCCACCTCCGATTATCAAGGGCGTTCCTTGACTTTGAAACTTGGAAGTGAGTTCACCTGAGAAGCCCACGAGGAATCGGATGTGTCAACCCATGAACTCACCGACCTCTGACGGAAGTGAGCTGTCAAATGTCTGAGCCACAAATCGGATGGATCTTCAAGTTCCCCGGTCTTGACTCGGTGCAGGGCGGGGGTGCTTTTTTTGAGGGGGGCCTTTGGCTTTGTCAGAGAAACATCCAGCTTCCCCCCCCCCCCCCCCCCGGGCGCCAAAAAATACATGGCAACACCAGTGGACGAGGAAAAGCGTGTAGTTGGACTCTGAGATTTTGGGATGCTGAAAAATCAGGGGGATCTGGTTCCGCCATCGGGGCACAGGGACACGGCGGGGCAACCACCTTCAGGCTGCAGGTTGAGGCGTTGGATGTACGCGGTGGGTACTTGGCAACGGCTTCCTGAAAATTCCATGGTTTTGCTGGCTGAGCACCTTTCTTCTCCGAGCCACACCGGCGCTCCGCTTTAGGGAGGTCTGGATATATTGACAAAGTGGTTTGATGTTTGTATAGTGACCCCATTCTGGTGTTCCCCTAGAGAGTGGCAGCAGGAGTGGTAGCAATGACAGATGTTGTGGTTACAACCCTCCTCCTAGAGTGGAAACCGTCCAAAGGGAGCCCTAGGCGGGTCACCTTCTTCACCCTGGACTTGGACACACTGCGCGGGTTTTGCAGCTCGGCAGGCCGCGCGAAAGAGCCGAAGCTTCGCCAATGTGGCAATGTGGTTCTCTGGTTTTTCGGGGGGGGGTTTTGGGAAAGCTGAGGAGGATTCCCCAAAAGCAAAGCACCAGGGAATGGTGATGGGCCCCTTTTTTTTGATGTTCTCTTTGAGAACCAGCAAGTAATGTATCTGAGCTTTTGAACCCCAACCAGAAAGAAGCGATTACCTTTTCACATGCCGGTTTGGTGAACCTTTAGTTGGAGACATGGAAAGCAATCCAATACCACATTAGCCATAAGTTGAACAGCTGGCCAGGAATACACAGTCTTTGTACTTTGGCCTTGCGTAGCTCGGGTTTATGGACTTGCGCGGTTCTATGCGGTTCTTAGTTGGCCGTGCAGGTGTCCCCTTGCCAACCACGGCAGTGCTGCACAAGCGTCCAGAAGAGCGTCGCCTGCAGGTTTTGGATCAACAGCCGACAGATGAAGCAAGAGATCGGTTGAGCAATCGCAGCTTCGACTTGACGCATCTTGTGGGGACTTCTTCACCTAAGCAACGCAAGCCCGCAGCTGCGCGATGCGGCATCAAGCTCGCCCCAAGATGCGTGCGATGCCGATGGCCCTTCTGCTTCTTGCTGTGGTCCTTTTGCCGGGAGGTGGCTTCGTTTGTCCAGCTCTGCATCGCTGTTGGGTCACGAAGGCCGCCCGCTCTCTGCGTGGGGCTTGTGGTGCTGCGGTGGCAGCAGCCCTGGTCTTGCTCGCCGCACCCGCGTATGCCGTGGACGGTCGCCGCGTTTTTTCAGTGGGAGACTTGCATGGGGACTATGAGAGCACGGTGACCATTCTGCGGTCTTTGGGCGTAATGGGCAGTGACGGAGGATGGACCGGTGGCAACAGTATATTGGTGCAGACTGGTGACATGGTGGACCGCGGGGACGAGTCAGGCCCCATCTTCCGTGCGCTGTTCCGGTTGCAGGATGAGGCGCCTCGCGCTGGGGGCAAGGTGTTTTTGCTGATGGGTAACCACGAGCTCATGAACCTGCAGGGTGACTTCCGCTACGCCACGCCCAAGGACACGGCCTCGCTGCTGGAAGGCGGGACAGAGTCCAGGCCCCCAGGCCTGGCCGAGCGCGCGGAGGTGTTCTCGCCCACGGGGTGGCTGGGAAAAGAGGTGCGGAGCCGCCTCCGGGCCGTGGCCTTGGTGGGTCCCGAGGAGGGCCTAGAGCGCTCTGTCCTCTTTGTGCACGCCGGGCTGCTGCCAGGGCTGGTCCCAGACTCGGACTCGAGCGGAAAAGCTGCTGAGAGCCGGCTGAATTCGGCGCTGGGGGCGCTGGTGAATGCGAAGCTGACAGCTGATGAGCCGCTGCTGGGGGAGGACGGGCCGATGTGGACCCGACGCTTGGCCCTGGGCCCGGAGCCAGCGGTGTGCCGGGAGGTGGACGAGACGCTGCAGGCCTTCGGCGCCAGTCGCATGGTGGTGGGTCACACCGCCCAGGCGGACGGCAAGATCCACGAGCGCTGCGGCGGTCGCTTCGTTTTGGGCGACTCGCTGATCTCGAGGTTCTACACGGGCACGGCACATCCCTCGGCCATCGAGTTCTTCCCAGATGGTTCGGCCACGGCGCTCTACCCGGGCAGACCGTCCTCTCCGCTGATGTCTTTGCCATGAAGCAAAACATCCGCGCATGGGCCACAGGCAAGGGGTGGTGAGACGGTTGATCAAGTACTCGTCTCGTTGTCGCAAGTGTCATCGTGGGTACAGCGGTTGACCTCCTCATACGCAATTGCTGTATTCAGCAGAGGACAGGGCATGGACCATTTGTGCCTGGGGATGACTTTAAATAGGCGTGGGAAACTTGGCTCGCCCACGTTTGCGACGCATTGACACCTGGCATCTGAGCCCGGGCTCAAGGGGGACCCGGGTTTGACCGGGACCCCAAAGGGGAACTCCATGCTCCATGCCATGGGTGGCTCCGTCTCCGCAGCACGGAGGCGCCTTCAGGGAACCCAAGGGCCAACCACTCAGACCTAGGATCTGCCATGAAGCCGAAGGAATATTCTTTCCGATTCTTTCCTTTTTTTGGGGCCAGTTGTGGGTGCACGATGCAGTGTGGCCAGGGCGCGTGTGTGATTTCACGTGGTGTTTGTGTGGCCTCCAAAATGGTTCGGTTCCTTTTGCCTTCCCTTGAATGTGATCCCCGGATTCATCAACCCCGGTTTATTACTAGGGGGGGGTGTTCCCCCACAAAAGTTCATCACCACTAAACCCCGACTAACCTCTGTATTCATAAACCGGGGTTGATTCATCCGGGGTCAACATTACCGCCAAACATGGGGGGGTCACTGGTTTGACTCGTTAGGACCGAGCGACCAAGTCCCAGATGCGCCTGGCTGGGGGACCCGATGCTGCCGGGCATGGCGGCCACACGGCGGCAAATGAGAGCTTCGGTTCGGTGGGTGTGGCTGGTTTTTTTGGAGGGTTCCGGGTATACCTTTTTGCCAGGTTTTGGTAGGTTCTGAAGAAAACGCTATTTTTTGGGGTGCCGTAAAAAAGGGCAAACTCATTTGGCAGTGGGGACTCACCAAGTTTGCCACCCAATTCAGGTGACTCACTCAACGTCCCATAAAGCGGCCCTCAACTGAGCTATCGGTACGAGGATCAGAACCACGACCCACACAAAGATGGCTTGCGCATGGCTGGGAGGGGGGCGGGGTTGTGGCAGCTAAGCCCGCTGCATGGATTTCTATCAGGTTTGCCCAGATTGAGACATAGACATGCGTGGCAGAGACATTCGTGGCAGAGCCATGCTGAGCCACGTCCACCAAACTAAGGCGTTTTCTGGATGCGGACGGGCTTATCCAAAGCACTGCGCATGGCCGGCGGAACTAGGTCTTGGTCGCATCAATCCACGATGGAAGATATGGTTCTTTTCGCTTCGCTTGTGCAAGTGATGCGCAGACATGTGCTGACGCTTGTTATGCAGAGCTTTGCTGAGTGTATCCATGTGTGTACATATATATATATATATATGTATGTATATATATATATATATATGCATATGCGTGTTTGTTTGGTTTTGGTTGCCGTGTCAGCTTGTTGGCATGGTTTAGACATACCGTGAGTGACGGCGTAAAGAGCGGCAGTGGCAGTCGTGTGGCAGGATTGTGAGCAGCAACCTCCGGAGGGCAGCACCACTGCCAGTCTGGTCCGCCACTTCTTCGACGGGCGATCCCTTGACAGGCCTGCAAGAGCGGTGGAAGGGTTTGAAGGGCAGCGCTTTGGGCCAAGGGAGGCTCACTTCATCTTGTTTTGAACAAGCAACTGAGAACTTGCAGTGGGGCCATTCCTTTGTTGTCGGTTGGGCCATGGGCCCCCTGGGAACCCTTCGCCAGAAATTCTGTCAAAAGGCTGGCCTAGGTGGGCAGAGTGTGAGCTGTTGGCTGGCAGGAAATCCATGCGACAGCGGGCCTATTGGCTTGCGGTGCATGCTTCGTTGGTTGGGGTTTTCATAGTCCCAGCCACAGACACCTCGCAGCAACGAAGGCCGGTTTGCAAACCCTGAAAAGTGACACCAAGCTGTGACTGGAGAACGAAACCACATGTTCCGCCAGCTTACTCGTGGTTTGCTTCCTTGAGTGCTGACTCGAGCAGAAGATTCGGACCTCAGCCCGTGGTTCTCTGCTAGGCGCGCCGCCCGGAAGAAGAGGTGCTCGCAAGGCCGGGCAGGGAGCGCTTGCATGGAGAGCAAGAAGCCTAGGCTTGCGAAATGGCCAGAAATTTCCTTCCGGATCTCATATATATACTTGTTTTGTCCGCAAACATAGTCATTGAAGACTTGACTGATCCAGTGTACACCTGGGTCATGCTCCAGCTCTGTCTAATGCAGCTCAGAGAGCGGGCTCCTTGCACCCCTTGCACCAAGGCTGTGAATGTTGTGATTGCTGAGCGACTTGTTTGGACAGAGATGTCTCGTCCACCTAAAACCCGGGTGCGAGGTTGGGAGGATTGGCTGCGTGCTCCCCTTGGGGCATAGGTTTTCAATTGCATCTTGCAACATCGAATCTATCTTTGGGAAAAAACAGGACATTTCTATCTAACAATTCTTGGCAAAAAACAAACAAACAAGAAAAGCGCTTGGCAGTCGAGTGTTGTGCAGGCGCTCCTCGGCCATCTGCTGGGAGCTCAGGGGAGTTTTTGTGCCCGAGGGCACGTTGGCCATGATCCATGTTGGCCCAAAATTGCCTTGCTGGTGGTTGTCCATAAAGAAGCGTGCGATTGTGAAATGGCTGTGGGTCAAAACCAATGGTACCATTTTGGGGTGGGTGCACCACTCATTTTAGAACCTATTTTAGTGGGGATGGGGATGTTCACTGGGGGTACGGGGTGTTGACCCATGGCCAAATAGAATCATTTTTCTGTGATTCCAGTGCTTCATAGTTCAAGGCTGGCTGACTGAATGCCGCGTCACCGGCGAAGGAATTCCGGAATCAATGTCTTATCGGCGCAGTGTGTTTTTTCTTGTGCCAGTCGCACCGGCAGACACCCAACCACACACACACACACAAATGCACAGCTCTACTTTTCGAATAGCACTCATTGTATGGACTGTTGTCCCATATGTGAGTTTGTGTTCGCATTTTGTGATTGAATGCACCCAGTAGGCACGCACCACAGATACCGCAAGCCCATGCGTGTGCGTGCGCATCCATGCGGTATGCGCAGGAGCATGAGAAGGTGTATGGCAAGCAAGCACAGATATATGTTCAAGTTCACACACACACACACGCCTAATCTTACTTTAATGTGAAGACTTCACACAGATATAATGAAACAATCGAACACGAACACCATCATGAACACAGACACAAACAGAAACCCAAACACAATCACAAACGCAAAGCACCACACACACACACACAAGCATAAACGCACACACACACACACCCGCACACCCGCACACGCACGGACATTTATCATTTATGCAGTTCTGTTACTTCACCGCTTTTGCAGGAAGTTTTCGTGCCTGAGAATGAGGCTCAGTTCAGACAGCGCGGCATGCTGCAAGCGTGCCTTGGCTTGGATGCTTTTACTTTGGCAGTGTTTGGCTGCTGTCACCGGCCTGGTGTGTTGACGTTATTCTCAGTGCGCCAACAAGCTAATAAGCAGGACATGTGAGGTCATTTGCCTCATTCCTTGGCGGTGTTTGCTGCTTCGCCACTTCGGTGTTCATTTCTTTCGTGCGAGTTCGGGACTTGCTGGCTTTGAAGAGCCCTTGAATGTGAGGACGGTGTCTGGAAAAGCGATTGAAGACGAGCGGGACTACTGGCGCAAATCTCGGACAAGCGGTATGTGAATTTGTGGGACGGATAAGGATCATGATCCAACCTTAAATGGGGATCAAGGATTCCTTTTATGGTTCCACTGACCATCGCATGAAAGCAGCTTTTTGATATTAGTTGAATTGACATGGCAGCAAGACTGTGGCAGAGCTTTGTCTTGGCATTTCAGATGTGGGGGAAAGCATGTATTCTGGAGCACTTGCTGCAGGTAAAAGGTCAAGTTGTAGTGCTGTTCCTGTTTGCTGACCGGGCCTTCCCAGCCATGCACATGCAGAGAATGAGCCGAAGGACGCGGCCTTGTCAGATTCGCTTTGGTTCGAATCTGGGTTATCGACTACATAAACACACAGTGGCGTCGGGATTTGGTCAAACACCGTAGCATTCACCGTTTGCGCTATTTATGCCGTTTGCATGTTTTTACACTTTTATTAACATATCTATATATCCCCCTGCCTGCGCATTTCAATGCAGGCAGCACAAGCAGCGCGGGCAGTGCAAACAGCACAGGAGGAATCGTACACAGCGTAGGCAGCACATACAGTGCAGCGCAGCAGGGCGAGGCTGGTTCACAGCGTAGCGCTGTACCAGCTGAATGACTGGCCGCGCAACAGCGTAGTAGCGTAAAGTAGCAGCATGGCAGCGTAACAGCGTTTGCGCCCACTCTCCACGTAGCGACACCTGGCTGTTGTGGTGCCAATGTGCCAATCAGGGGTTGATTTGGCTGTGGGTCAAAAAACCGGTACCAAAATGGAACCCTGGCAAGTGGAAACCTGGACCAAAACCTGCGTAACCCCTCCTGTTTAATTTTGAGCCATATCCATTTGAATCCCTTGTGAGCTTCTTTGTACGTTCCGAGGCCGGTGTTCGTGCTCTCGCAGTCGTTACTGGTCTTCTTGCTTTGGGCTGCCTGCCTCAGGAAGGCCTCAAGACGTTTATATTTGGGTTTCCCTAGCAAGGCAGACGCTATTTCAGGATTGACTCCAGGGGTGGATCAAAATGCCATAGCATCTCTAAAAGGAGGGCAAAAAGACACCGGAGCGCAAATCAGAGGGGCAAGGCTGACAAGGTCCCCGGCAGAAAGGGAGTCAGCCTGGTGTGGTTTGCCCAGACCAAGCCTCCAGATGCTGGGTTTTGCGTTGACTTCCATTTCATGCCCCAAGCTTTGGTTTGGTGCAAATGATCCGAGGTCATCTTTGCAGCACAAAGCGAGGAGCCGCTCGGCTTGTCTTCAGCTGGACAGATGGTCGCTCAATCGACTGGAATTTTTGGGCTGAGAGCCAAGCTTGGGGATCCAGAACGGCTGTGAGTGAAACCGATCGGACCAGAGAAGCTTTTCGAACCCAACTCCATGTCAGAGGCTTGCCATTTTTTGGCGCCCCTTTTCGCGTGTGTTCAGATTGCGACTCGCCTGGGCATGGAACGCCCAGGTTCTTCTCTGCAAAAGCCGGATTGGACTCGATTGTGCCTGGTACCACGAACATGGCAATCCACAGCGACCCCAGCTCAGCCTCGCGCGGAAGCTGTTTCAGTTTTGAACAGCTTAGCTTATCAAACTTGGCAAACTTGGTTGTTGGTATGCATGTCGGGGTTGGGTTGTAAAGGGCAAAACAATATGCGGCCAGACACTTTGGGCATTCCTCGTATTGGGAGACAAGCCCTCATGTGCATTTGTGAGCTCAAACCGATGGATGAGCCCACGGATCACGTTGCTGCCCAGGATTGCGAGGATCTCCGTTGGCAAATCTGGAGATGGCTCACATACCAGCCGCTTGGCAAAGCCTCTTTCTTGTACGAGCCAGCCGCGGCGCCGGGAACATGTCATCCCACAAATAGTTTTGGTTGGTCATGTCATCACACAGATGGTTTGTTTGTTTTTGGTTGTGATGACATGACAGATGGTTAGTTGGTTGGTTGTGTGATGGTTAGTTACATGTCATCACACAAATGGTTCACAGATGGTTGGTTGGTTGCCTTTGATTTTCATGTCAACGTGTAAAGCGTATCCGGAGGCTCTTCGTTGGTCAGCCCGTGTCAACCGGGACGGTTGCCTGAGGTTCACTCATGCCGGTCTCTCGCGCCCTGGCATGGGGACCCCGAGGATAGGGATATGGCTGTCAAAACCAATGGTACCATGTTGGGGTAGGTGCACTACCCATTTTAGGTTTCCTATTTTAGTGGTTGGATTGAATCGGATGTTCACTGGGGGTATGGGCTTTTGACCCACAGCCATCTGTGTTTCTTGAGTCTGAAGCACATTTTTTTGGCAAGGACACTTCAGCCCTTGCTTTTTCGAGCTTCGATTTTTTGCTTGCAGGGCACAGGTGTGTCCGTTGTCGGAGCACTGGCCTGTGGGACCAAGGCATGTTGGCCTGAACATATTCATCGTCCTGGTTGTTGGCATGCGCTTGGAGATGTACCATGGGCATGTGAGGACACTCGCTCCTTGGCCGCTTTTCAGATTGAGGGAATCAGCTGAAGGGCTTGAAGCTGCCAGTTCCTCCCGCTTGCCAGGTGGTGTTCAACCTGGGCGTCATTTGCGCAGCCTTCAATTTTGCTGCTCAGCTGGAAAGCGCCCAAGCGCCCAGTGCTGGGTTCTGCTCGGTTGTTTTTACTTTCGGCGAGTGAGGCTGTTGCCGACGGCCATGCCAGCCTGATCGGTATGTCGGGCGGAGCCTATGCCCTGATGGGCATGACCTTTGGCGTGGCTCGGTTGCAATCGCGATGGCTTGAAAGGGCAAGGTTGCGCACGCTGGTCTGAGTTGAAGTTGGACATGTTGCTGAACCATAATCAAGCAAGTGGCAGAAAACAATCATATAGCCTGGAGTGGCATGTCAACAAGTCAGAGAAGAAATGTATTACACCCCGAGAATACACCCTCATTCCTACTTATTTTGACTGTTGTTTTATCTTTTCTTCGCTTGACTTTCTTCTTACAAAGTCCATTGAGAGTGGGTCCAGTCTATTGGGCTGAATGGAACAATCGTTGCCATCTAGCGGCTCAGAACAAACAGTCTGACAACTCCACGGGGATGTTGCCAATGTGTCATGAGACAGCTTCACTCGCAAAGTAATTCCCAATTTGGAGGGGGGTTGTCTTGCGGGGTCCAAAAACACCCTGCAAACCTGAGTTATTTTGATTGATTTTGGCTGTTTTTCTTCTGGGGGAATTCTTGGGGTTGAGGGGTCCTGGAAATCCTCAAATACCGTTGGGTGAAAGGTATTACACCCAACTCCTGAATTATTTTGATTGATTTTGGTTGTTTTTCTTCTGGGGGGATTGTTGGGGTCCAAAATGCTTCAAATGTCGAGGTGGGGACCACCTCAAAACTTCCTGTTTCACCAAGAAAGGCAAACCCGCAAAGTAGGACTTGCGACATCGATCCGTCCGAAGCGTGAAAGGAAAGCATTGGCGATGAAACACGTGGGTGTTTGAACTATACGGGAGACAGGGGTTCTTGCTTCTTGGACATGCCCCACACAAGCCGCAAATGGATCAAAATAAATCAAAATAAAGCAAAATCGATCGAAATAGATCAAATTAGTTCCTTTTAGAACGAATTAGTCGGGGAACAAGGTGAAATCCCAGGGTGTAATACCTTTTCCCGCCATTTCGCTCTTTGCGTTAGAACCTATGATAGTACCACCTGCAGGGTAACATCATGTCTGACTCTCTGCCAGCTGAGTCTCTGATACTGAATTGGCATGACACGCGCCGCCGCCTCAGCTGTTTGCAAGGGCCAAGCTCGTTGGCTCCTTTGGTCGTTGTGGATTCTGCTGTTCCATGCAAAGGCCCAGAAGAAAGCTCAACCCATTTCTGAAAGAAAGAGTTGCCAAGAAATTCGAACCAGAATCGCCGCTCCTTCCTTGCACGGTGCAGCAGAAGCGTCCTCTCTTGGCTTCGGCGTACTTGTCGGGGCTCAAGCCCACTCAAAAAGCCTTCCGTCGAGTATCCCCAGAAACCTTTCGGTAAGATTGACAAACACTGGAGGAACACCAGCTGGGACCAAAATAAAATGGCTTTAGAGGAACAACAAGATGCAACACCAGAGGAGACCCATGTCATACGTCTAAGACATCCCTCCGCATACCACTGAAATGTTATGAAGAGAATCAATTGAGCAGTCAGGATGTGTTCAAAAAGGTCTGAAGGCTCTGAGCAGTTTTCCCTCGGTGAGTGAGTTTGACTGACTCCCCTCTGGAGTTTGACTCGGCGACTGGCGAATTTCACCGGGACCTGACAAGTGGTTGGTGGATATGATCAAAAATCAATCTGGCAACCTGGCAAATGGACACATGAACTACTTCCTGCGGTCCATATCCTGGTGGCTTCATTTCTTTTTGTTTTCATACCTAGCGATGATGTGGGGGAGGCGCTCGACCGCCGCAGGCTCGGCCCAAGCCTCTCTCGTTCTCTCAGGCTATCGCCGGCCGGAGCTCCTGGTCTTATTGGTGCTCTTTGCCTTGGACCTGGTCTTCGCCCCTGGGCTCCAGCTGCCTTTTTTTCTCTCCCGACCCCTCAAAAGAGCGGAAGGGGGGGGGGGGGGTATTTTTTTCAACAGCTAGCGCGGGGCTGGTTTGGTTTGGTTTGGGAGCTTTTGTTTCTTTGGGACGCATCTAAAATTTTGGTATGTGCACAAGAGTCTGAGGGGTTGCATGCAGTTGCTAGCAGTGAATGTCATCCGGATGCAGGCTTATGCTGATGGTCTTGCCAAAGATAGTGAGGTGAGTAACTTGGATGCAACATGATTCTACGTGCCAGCCACTTGCAAAGCCAGAGAGAGGAAAGAGAGAGGAAAGAGAGAGAGAGAGAGAGAGAGAGAGAGACTGAGAGAGACAGAGAGCGAGAGAGAGAGAGAGAGAGAGACAGAGAGAGAGAGAGCGAGAGAGAGAGAGAGAGAAATAGAGAGAGAGAGAGAGAGAGAGAGAGAGAGACAGAGAGAGAGAGAGAGCGAGAGAGAGAGAGAGAGAGAGAAATAGAGAGAAATAGAGAGAGAGAGAGAGAAATAGAGAGAGAGAGAGAGAGAGAGAGAGAGAGAGAAATGGAGAGAGAGAGAGAGAGAGAGAGAGAGCGAGAGAGAGAGAGAGAGAAATAGAGAGAGAGAGAGAGAGAGAGAAATAGAGAGAGAGAGAGACATAGAGAGAGAGAAAGAGAGAGAGAGAGCGAGAGAGAGAGAGAGAGAGAATTAGAGAGAGAAATAGAGAGGGAGAGAGAGAGAGAGAGAGAGAAAAATAGAGAGAGAGAGAGAGCGAGAGAGAGAGAGAGAGAATTAGAGAGAGAGAGAGAGAGGAGGAGAGAGAGAAGAGGAGAGAAAAAGCGAGACATGTCAGTTTGTTTTTTCAATTTCGACGCATCGCGGAATTGTCCCAGACGTTTCCGGGCGAGGCCACTCCGCACACTTCGGAGGCCCGTGCCTGGGGGGGCAACGGAGGGCTCGCTGCTTCCTCCATGCCGAGAACTTTTCACAGATGCGGTAAAAAATAGGTGAACCCCCAAAAGGGGGCTCTGGTAAGAGGAAGCATGGACGAAAAAAACGCGGTCCATATGCTGGTGGTTTAATTTTGACCCACAGCCACACATCAAATACCAATGCTACGCGGATCATGTTCCATCTGAACGCCACACCTCATGCCAGGCTATGCGGCCGGGTTTGTGCTTGGCCTGGATCTCAGAGGTCGCGTGTGGCTGGCAGCTGGGGCAATTGGCTCGACCTTCACAGGGGGCAGGCTCGCAGTTGCGCCCAGTTTTGAGGGTATGTAAAGCAAATCTCCGGCTGAGACCCCAGCCTCTGAGCGCAGAAGCTTCTGAAATTCTGGAGATACTGATCCGATTCACCGAAGGGCCTGAAAGGCACCAGGTGCTCAAGCTGCGAGGCTTATATTTGCCTCTGCGGTTGTCCGCAGATGTTTCCACTCAGCGGCATGTGTTCTGCCATACAATAACCGAGGAATCCTTGTCGGAAGAAACTTGGACGAGGAGGAGAAGCAAGAGCATGCAAAGACGTTTCTTGGCTAAAGGAGTCCATCGACAGGATTTCGATGCTCGAAGATATTTGCTTGAATAGATCCGAATTTTCATGTTTGATACTGCGCTCGTGTCGCCCTTCAGGCTGCGATGCGAGCGCATCCTGCAGTTGGTCCTGGGCGTCGTAGGCTCCTGATAAAATAGTGCTGTCTCACGGGGGTCACCGGATTTCCCCTTCAACAGGTCACGAAAGCTAGCTTTAGCTAGCTGAAGTTTCTCCTTGCGTAAGCAAGGTAAGGGGCTCAAATGCCGAAAGATTGATTTTTTCAATTATTTGAGCCGAAAAGATTGAAAAACATCAATCATTTAGACCCCCCCCCCCTCCCCCCCCCCCCGGTCTCAGGCTCGATTCCTCCCTGGTCCATCCCCCAGGCAGTGGCTCAGTGTTCAGCAGTCTCGGTTTGCCCGTTTTGGACTTGGTGCTACGAACTTTTACATGTTCCACCGATTCAGCTTGTTCATTTGAGACCTCAGTCTTCTCGGTAAACCACCTCGCAAGAATCTTTGCACACGCAGCATGCAGAACCCAGAGGTGCTTTGAGACAGCTTCTGACGCCTCTCGTTGTTCATTTTTCAAGGTTTGCCACGCCACCATGTGCGTTCGCGTGTCGCATCCTACGAATCTTGCCGGGCCTCTCGTTGTACACAAGCTACCTCTGAATCCACTCTGTCACCGACCCATCTCATGCAACAACTGCTAGCTTTCGTTCACCCGCTCCTCAAGTTGCAGTCTAAGTCGTGGTAGTTTTCCCTTCAAACAGAAAACAGGAGACCTCTCGATTTCGCCTCAGGCGCCATCGTGCTTGTTTCGGTGATCGCCTGGGCTGCTCAGTGGCCTCCCAGGACCGGCGGGAAGCCGGTTTCGGGGTTGACAAGCTTTACATGGAAGATCTGTGCTTGGAGTGCGTTTCACAAGTCGGGACCCTCCCAATTGTTCTTCAAGTCTGATTGAGAGTGTCTGGAGCTAGGTGGCTCCAGATGGAGGGTTTTTTGGCTTCATTTGCGTCAGGGTTCAACAGACACCAAGAGCAGGTAGCTTTGGCGCGCGCCCTGTCCGCTGCGTCATGACGTGAGACCTTCCGAATTGCAGGACCTTGAGCGATACCACGCCGTGGTGTTGGAACCGGCAAATCTTCAACCAGTCAGCGACTGAGACGGGCGACAGCTTTCTGGAGCCTTAGTGCAGCATGGGAAGCTACATGGCATGTCAAAATGGGAGGGGGTGGAGCCCGGCAATTGCTTCTTTCCTTTTGGTTTCCCTCCAAACCTACCTTCAAAGGGTACCCTGAAAGAATGACGTCCTCATTTGGTGGAGAACGAGGCAGGGAAGGATCGCGGCCCCTGTGCGGCTTCGGCTCAGGTCACTTTTCCCAGAGCGCCTTGGAGCAAAGATCAGGGAGGGTTCTCGCCGCGGCAGTTTGGGCGGACGAAGGAAGGTCCACGTTTTTTGTTTTTGTTTTTTCTTGCTCAGTGTAAAGCTATGGGCCGCGCAGGCCTAAAGCCGTGACCCAGGCTTTGGTCCCCGAAAAAAAGGGCGACCGCTTGTTTTTTGATGCTTTCGGTGGTTCAATCCATTTCCCACTCCGCATCTTTGGGAAGGATCGCACGATTTTCTCGCACGCGAGCTGGTCAGGTTCAGGTTTCACTGCATCCGATGCCAAGACGAGAGTTGCGTCTCAAGGTCGGGGCCTCAGCTGAGCGCTGGCTGCCTTGCGGAGGGGTCAGTGAATTGCTGAGGTTTGAGGCAATGGCCAATGTGGAGCAGGCAGGGCCAGATGTCAATTCTGAATGGGCCAGCAGAATTCTCAGGTCTTTTCAAGCAGCTGGAAGTTTCATTTGTCGCTATCGCAGGTGAGCTTCCGGGTTTGCGAAGGGGTGGGCTGGAGCTACAGCCTCTCGGCTTTGCAGGGCAGAGATCTTGCCCCACCAGGCTTTGGTTCGCTTGGACAAGTCCGTGTAGGATTTGCTGAAATCAGACGGACCCTTGCAGCGACGAGTTCCAACTTGAGCCAAGAAGATGCCATTACTTTGATATCGTCGGGCTTGCTTCATCCCTAGGTCAATGAGCACTGCGTGGGCGCAGCGAATTGCACGCCGGTGCACAAAGTGCTACCGAGGCAGAATTGTACATAGGTCTCCTATCGAAAACGAGATGAACTACGTCACTTATCGCTTACCTGCCCCCAAAGCCATTGGTGCAGGGCTTCATGGCAAACACAGGTACCCTGTCTTGTTTTGGAGGGTACGGGATAACCTTATATTTTAAATATATTCATTCCTTCTTTTATGATTTATTTGAAACATATAATTTTCAATTAATTATTATAATATGAAAATTCTATTTAAATATTATATTATTGTTAGATATTTAATTTAATTATATTTATAATATATTTTGAATTATTTATTTTAAAATTAAGGATTGGAAAGGATTATATATAAGGACAAATATACAAGGACATATAGTAAATGATTGGGAAAATTGGATTTAATTTATATATAAGAATTGATTGGATTATATTTGATTTGGGGTTATATATAAATTATAATTACTAATATATTATATGTTTTAATATAAATATTATGTAATATATATATATAATTAGATATATTATTTATTATATTTAAATTAGGATACAAATATTAATTCTTAAACATATTATATTTTGTATGCTTTTTGGTTGGTTGGTTTAATAAACGAATTTATTTGTCTTTTTGTTTGGTTTAGGGTTGTTGGATGCTCTTCATGTCTCTTATACATTTGTTTTAGATTTTTTTTTTTTTTTTTCCTTAATTTGAATTATATTTTATATATTTATTATTATATTGGCTTAATAATTAGATTAATATATTTCTTAATTTGATATGTTTTATTTTTCGACCGAACGATTTAATAAACAAATTAATATATTTATTAACTTGGTTTAAGAATATCGGATATTCTATATGTCTTTTATGCATTTGGCTTAGTAATTAAATTTCCTATTTTTTTGTTTTGTTTGCTAAATATTCTATATGTTTATTTTCGTGCTAACTTAATAAACAAATACATGTATTTCCAAATTTGGTTAATCTAATTATATACTCTATGTATCTTTTGGCCAGTCGGCTAAATAAACGAATCCATTTATTTCCTAGCCAAATTTAAAACAAATGCTCTATATACCTCTCGCGCGACGAGCTTCATAAATAATTTCTGTCTTTTTTGGTGCTAAATGCCTATCATCGCGCCGATTTAATAAACGAATTTATTAATTTCCAAATTTACTTAGCATTACTATTTCTTAAGCGAACAATTAATAAAATAAATAAATTTAATTGATTCTCAATATATTTTATATATCTTTCTAACATAAACATATATAAATATAAATAAAAATATCATAATAATACCTATCTCATTACAATAAATTCTATATCATTATATTACGACCTATATTATCAAAGGAAATTTAGAAGGAATTTCCGTGTTACGGCAACTAATTGAAAGCTAGCTCTCTGAGACAAATGACAAAAGAAGGAATAAGCCCGCGAGAGAAGCGCGCGCGCATGGCAGGGAAAAATGTGGCCCTGTGCGTGAATCGGCATTTTCGCAGATAAGAAAGTCGCAAAAAGCGTGGCCCTATGCCCGAATCGGCGTCTCCGGAGCTGCGAAAGCTAGCCTATCCGCGGCGTCTGGTCGGAGCGGGCTCGGAGCGGGTTCGGAGCGGGCTCGGCGCCAGGCCCATTAGCACGGCAACGCAGAGGTTTCGCAAGGTTTGAATTACGTGGCAGGAAAAATATTTTGGTGAGGTCGGGTGCGGATTTCGTGGCAGGCGCAGCACTGTCGCAAGGTCAATTTTTCTCAAGATTTGAATTGCGTGGCAGGCATAGCACTTTCGAAATGTTAGGCGCAGATTTCGTGGCAGGCGCAACACTTTCGCAAGGCCAAGTATAGATTTCGTGGCAGGCACAGCACTTTCGCATTCGTGGCAGGCGCAGCACTTTCGCAAGGTCAAATCAAATTTCGTGGCAGGCGCAGCACTTTCGCAAGGTCAAACGCCATATTCGTGGTAGGCGCAGCACTTTCACAGGGTCAAGTACAGATTTTATAGCAGACACAGCATTTTCGCAGGGTCAAGTGCCAAATTCGTGGCAGGCACAGCACTTTCACAAAATCAAATACACAATTCGTGGCAGACACACCATTTTCGCCAATTTTGGCACAAATAAATAAATAAATAGATAAATTAGATAGACTAGATAGATAAAACAGAGAGAGAGATAGATAGATGCATAAATATATAGACGAATAGATAGATAGATAAAGAAAGATAGAGAAAATAGAGAGATATATAGCTAAATAAATAGATAAATAGAAAGATAAATAAAGAGAGAGACAAAAAAATAGATGGACATATAAATAAAAGAGATAGATAAAGAGATAAATATATAAAGAGATAAACAAATAAATAATCATATAAAAGATAGAGAAACTAGAGATAAATAAATAAATAAATAAATAAAAAAAATAAATAAATAGACAAATATATAAATATCTAAACAAAGAGATAAATACATAGATATATATATAAATAAGTAGGGAGATAGCTAGATATATAAATAGAGAGATAGATAGATATATAAAAGATAGATGGAGAGAGAGAGAGAGAGAGAGATGGATGGATAGATAGATAAATAGAAAGATAGATATATAGATAAATAAAAATAGATAAATAGATAATTAAATAGATAGATAATTAGGTAGATAGATAATTAGATAGATAAACAAATAAATAGATAGATAAATAGAGAGATAGATAAATAAAAGGATAAATAATTATATAAGAAATAACCAGATAGACAAATAAATAGAAAAAGAAATAAAGAGGTAGAGAAATAAATAGATAACAAACACAAATATATATATATAAATTAATAAATAGATGGGTAGATAAATAGATAGATAAAGAGGTATATAAGAAGATAGATAAATAGATAAACAAACAAATACATAAACAAATCAAAAAGAGAAAAAGATAAATAAATAGATAGATAAATACACATAAATATATAAATAGATAAATTAAATAAATAAATAAATAAATAAATCAATATATAAATAGATAGAAAGAGAAAGAGAGAAATAAACAGCCAAACAAACAAGTAGATATATAAATAGAAAGATAAATAGATAAATAGACAACTACTAAATAAATAAATAGAGAGATAGCTAGACACAAAAAGAACTAAATAAATAGATAGATAGAAAAATAATGATAGAGAGAGATAAACAAATAGATAAATAGATAAAGAAATAGATAGAGAGATGGATAAATAGAGAGATAAATAGATAAAGAGATAGAGAGATAAATAAATACATATGACATAATAAAATACAAAAATAGATAAATAAATAGATAGAGAGATAAAGAGATAACCAAATAAAGAGACAGATAGATAGATAAATAAATAAATAAGAAAACAGACAAATAAAAAAACAAATAAATAAATAAATAGATAATTTAATAAATAACCAGATAAATAAATATATCGATAGATAGATATGCACGAGATAGATGGAAAGATAGATAGACAAATAAACAAATAGATAAAAAGAGATAGAGAAAGAGATAAAGAGATAGACAAAAAGAAAGACAGAGAGATAAATAGTAAGAAAGAGAGATAGAGACACAAAATACATAAATAAATAGATAAATAAATATAAAAAGAACTAAATAAATAGCTAGATAAGTAAATGAATAGAGAAATAAATAGATAAATCAATAAATAGTTATATAAATAAATAAATAGAGAAATAAATAAATAAATAAAACCAAATAAAAGAATAAATAAAGAGATAAAAACATTAAAAAAATAAATAAACAAGCAAACAAAAAAAAAAAAAAACAAATAAAAAAAAAGAAAGGAAAAGGAAAAAAAAAAAAACAAAGAATAATAATAGAAAAAAAAACAATAAAAAAAGAAAACAGAAGAACAAAAACAAGAAACAAAGAAAGAAAAAGAATTATAATTTTTATATTTTTTAAAATTTCCGCCCACCGACTCCGCCAACTCTACTAATATTACTATATTATAATCTATATTATTATAATATAATCTATTTCCCTATAATTCAATATTCACCATTATAACATAATCCATACATTATACATACATAACAATATCTTTTCTATTTATATTCAATATTATTAACGGTTTATATATAATCTCATAATAATATATTCCTTATATCTTATTTATCCATAAATTTTTATTATCAATATACATATTACTACATTACCATTTTTATTTTACTTAAATATTTCAAATTAATATATTAAATTATAATATTATCTATATTTATATCATTACCTCTATAATCATTATATATTATTTATATCTTAATAATTCAATCTACATCTAATATCTTATATTAACAACTACACCATCATAATAAAATCTACATTAACATAAAACTACCAACATCATAACCAAATAATATATATCATCATAATAATTCATATTTTAAATACTTTTCATTAATATATTTTTTAATTATTTAAGAATTTAAATTAAAAAAACAAACAAACTTTTACAATTCCAAAAAAACACATACCTATATATATATGAGGCACGGTCAAAATTACTTACTTACGGCCGTTTCGCTACTTACTTTGAGAGTCCCCTATCGTTTTCCAACATGTCCATCGTTTTCCAGGGGTATCGTTCTTTTAAGAGTCCCCTATCGTTTGCCATGATTTTGTGCATTTTCACAATATCAGACGAATACTAAATTCAACAGAAGTAATTCTGACGGTGCTTCATATATTATTTATCCTTTCTTTTCATTCTCAATAACATCATTTCATACCCGAAATTTAATACATAATTATTACTTTTCCTTTCATAAAAATACAATACACAATATATATCATTCAAAATCATTCCCTCGAAACCCAACAACAATTACAAATATATAGAATATTCTTAAAACACTCTCCAGCCACACAAAACATCAAAATTTAATCCCATCAAATTTAACCATAAAAAATACAATACACAATCTTCCAATCGTGAAACAAATCAAAATCAAAATCATAAAACTACGATGCCACATCAACATCAAGAATAATAACTAATTCATTACACCCTTACTCAATGC